GAGAGAGAGAGAGAGAGAGAGAGAGAGAGAGAGAGACGGATGGACGGACGGAGTTTTTGACCTTGGTCACATTTTGACTAGCCATTAGCTCATCAGACAAGATTCTGTTTCTCCTAGATCTCCTCGTTCTACTTCTTCTAGTTCAAACAGGTATCTGCAGCAGGAAAGATATTAGGAACTTGTCCATATTAATTAATCTAATATCTACTTGGGGGAGTGGTGGCGCAGAGGTTAGAGAAGGTGGGCCTGTGATCGGAAGATCACTGGTTCACGCCCCGGTACCGACAACAGCAAAAATGTGGGTGGGATAGGTGAAGCACCCACACTTGCCCCCACCCTCATTCACCCCATTCTGGGCCCATGAGCAAGGCCCTTAACCCCCACCATCTGCTCCCTAAACAGGTCTCTCTTGAAAATGAGTTCTCATGGCTCAATGAGACTACCTGTATAAATAAAGGCTAAATGAAATGAAACTTAGCAGCAGCACGGTGACACAGTTGGTAGAGCTGCTGCCTCTCAGCAAGAAGGTTGCTGGATCAAATCCCACTCTGGGACCTTTCTGGGTGGAGTTTGCATGTTCTTTCTGTGCTGTGTGTGTTTCCTCCCACAGACCATCAACATGATTGGGAACTCTAAATTGTCTTTAGGTGTGAGTGAGAGAGTGACTGGTTTTCTCGTTTGTCTCTGTGTCCCTGTGATGGACTGGAGACCTGTCCAGAGTGTCCCGCGCCTCACCCACAGTGACTGCTGGATATGGGCACCAGTGACCCCCATGACCCAAAAAGGAAGATAAAAAGAGGATGGATGAATGGATGGATATCTACTTTCTCTCAGAAGCCCACTTCAAAATGACTGAAATATCCCTTTAATAAACCTTGCCTGAGGCCACAGAAAACTGAAAATCTTTGTCTCTGAGTATCAAGTCTCCCTCTGTGCATGCAGCTTGTTTCAACCATCCTTTGTCTGCAGTGTTGTGTTCTCATCACACTGTGCTGGTAGTTTCCGTTGGTTTTGGGCTCAGAGTGTGTAGCGGTGAACGTCGCAGGAATAAAAAGGAGAAGTCGTAACAACATAAAGTGAAACACAAGCTGCACAATTACTGAAGTTATTGTGCAAATTAGATTCAGCCCTCTGGAAACAGAGATACTGTACTGTGGGACATAGCTCAGTGGTTTTTGTTTCTGCCTCACCGTGCCTCCGCTGATTAGTCTGAAAGCTGAGACTCGTCTGAACACTTGACTGAAGCGTAGCTGGTCGTTCACTCTCACTGAATGAGCTGCGTCATACATGATGCCAGGTCAATATCATAAAACAATTTAAGTGCTGCTGATTTCATACTGAACACTAGCAGCACATAGGAGGATAATTCCCGTCAGACATTAAGAATCTGTCTTCTATAACGGATATTAGTTTAAAAATTATTGAAATGTTGTGTTGGAAGAGGTTTTTTTCAGTTGAATGATCCAAGCATCAAACTTGAACAAATAAAACAAAATGTGTCACATCTTCCAGAAAACAGCTTGTTTCTTTACGTGGACTAATGCTGCTCCCTGCTGTCACAAATCAGAACCACTGGAGAACCACTTGCTAAAGTTTAGCCACCCTGCAGTGTATCCCTCGGTGACAGAACTTAATTAGAAAAAGACTTAAAGCTGAATTCTAATTTGTTTTTAAATTATATTTTTATCGTTTTAAATTAAAACAGAGTTTTGCGTATTGTCTAACATTTATGACCATCATCCCTAACCCTGATGTTTAGTCATTGTTTTAGTTCAAGGCTTCTTAGTTATTTATATTATGAGCATCATTTTGCATTCACCACTGATCTGAGATCTGTTTACAGATTCACGTTTGTGAAGTTATTTAAAATAAATGGAGCAAACAGATATTCATCTTCTGTTTAACTCTCAGCAAAATTACTTCACAGATTGTATTAAAACTCTGAGTAAATAATCCTTGGATATGCTTTTACGACTGATTAACTTCTGGGACCAACCCAATTCAAGATGGCCGCCATGGGTAATCAACATTAGCCCACTCAAGAATAGCTACAGCTCAGTCAGCTGATCAGACAGTGAGCTAAAATTTAATGTCATAAATGCAGTTTGTTCTCAGTGCATATGCATACATCTCATGGCTGAGGTAGTTCAGTGGTCAGTGGTGCTGTCTCATATGCCTAAGGCTGCAGGTTCAAGCCCATGTCAACTCAGAGAAAGTGCATCTGGTGTAGAACAATTGTTAAATCTTTCATGTGAGTTCTCTCACAGAAGTAATCCCTGCTGACGGGAGCAGCGGCTAAAAGAAAAACAACCCTGAGCACGCATCTCATGATGTGCAAAGTCCTATTTATTAAGTTTGGCTACAAGTCTGTAATTTTTTTCACAGATGATGATTGTAGCCCAAAAGATCTTGTCTTAAATATAACGGGGGATGTGAAGTCCTTGTTTTTATAAAGCTCCAACAAACACACGGTACGAGCCATCCTGATCTGATCAAACCATGTCTCCTTCTGTTTCACCTGTTTCTGCAGGTTAATGGTGCCTCCAACATCCCACATACTCAAAGCAGATGTTCAAAACCAAACACCAGTGAGATGCAATCAATAAATTACTATTTAGAGCAGTTTGTTTGCTTGTTTGGGCATTTTTCTGATTAGTCACAACTGTGGCGTTCCGCCTATGTTTCCACTTTTTGCTGATGTTTCATTTGTCACAGGCGTTTCAGTTTGAAATCACAGTCTCTCTTTTAAAAAGTCCCACTAACTATATCGAGTGGGTGCATTGTCAGTTTTGGCCACACTGAGCAGTGAGGATAGAGGCGTTACCTTGGAAACCAGCCACAGCAACAGAGGAGAATTTTCCAAAAGAGGGGTAGCAGTGATTGCTGACAGCGGTGCAGAAAGTCTGACAGAAACTCTCTGACTTGTGTTGCATCATCTGCTGGTCACTCACACCCATTCTGTGACACATGACGCAGTGGCACAGTGAGCTGGAACAACTTTGGGTTTTCAGTCTTATTTTAATTCATTTTTACACATTTTAGTTCATCATTGTTCTTCAGTGTGGAAAAATGTATATTTAGTGCATCATATAAGTTGCTTTTTTTTCTTAAAACCATCAGTGCTACTGGGAGAGGAAGAAAATATCAGTTTCACTAAAAGGTTCTCTGCTGTGGTGTATAAAATAAAATTATGTGTCAAAAAGACTTCCGTCTGATGTAACAGCTGTTCTGGCTCTGAGAGAACGCTGCAAGGCGAGGAGAAGCATGAGCCGAGGCGTTAGCAGAGCTGCAGGAGATGTGGTCCACCCTGTAGGAGATGGAGTTATAAAAGACCGGGTTGCTGTGACCACCTGTCTGTTCATGGAGCCGCTGAGAGGAGGTGCTAACGCTATCCAGCCCACAGCACATACACAAGAGCAAGGTCCTGAATCTGCTGGGCTCCAGGTCAGAGCTGTGAGCTTCAATGAGTCTGTGGTTGTCTGCAGGAAAGGAGACAAGGCTGATGCAGCTGCTGCTCACCTCCATGGGGAGGTGACAAAGACCACTTTGTCCTTCTTCACCAGTTTCCATCACCTTTCTCTCTCCTTTCATCTCCTTCAGCTGTGATTGCCACTCTTCTTCTTCAGTGCTCACATGTGTGTCATCTGAGCTTACAGTGAGAAACCTGAGCACCACCAGGTTGAGGAAAGCTCCAATGACTGTCAGCCCTACCAAAATGTACATGAAGCAAAAGGCCACGTAGGGCGGTCGTTCCTGGAGCGCATTGCTCTTCTTCAGGGCAACAAAATCCCCAAAGCCGATGGTGGTGAGTGTGACGAAGCAGTAGTAGTAAGCGTTGAAGAAGGTCCATTCCTCAAAGTGGGCGAAAGCTGCAGCTCCAATGCACAAGGTGCTCACACAGGACAGAAGACCCACCAGAACCATGTTCCCCATAGATACCTCTGTCCTCCTGAAGCCGAGGCCATGCTTGGCCCTGCACAGGAGGTATCGGACAAAAGTGTTGATCCTCTCGCCCAGACTTTGGAACATGACCAGCATCAGAGGGATGCCCAGGACTGCGTAGAACATACAGAAGGCCTTGCCAGCGTCAGTGCGTGGAACAGCATGGCCATAACCTGTGAAAGCACAGTAATCTGCAGGTTAATGGACATGGACAACTGTTCCATCACAAGAGTATGGTCTCTGACATTTTTTTTACATAGTCTACATTATTTACTACATTCAATTCCTGATTTTGGTTTGTCCTTCCTGACAAGTGTTGTTTTCACTCCCATACATGCTGCCCAGAGCAAACACATGAGCGTCTGCATTAAATATTGTATAAAGACTAAGAATAAACTTTTATTATTACTACCAATTTGATAAGACACAGAGTTTGGCCAAATATTCTGCTAACTTGGTTTAAGGTGCTATCAAAATATGAACAATGGAAATTAAAAATAAAAATATTGTTCTAGATCCTGACAAATTGAAAGAAAAATACAGGTAACTAAAGGTAATTACATTATCGGCTCTGGATTATTTTCCCTCCTCTGTGGATAGGAAAAGTCTTTCATGCATTTTTTAATTTTTTTATTGTAGTTTTTTTGGCTGTTGGAGCCCAGGTAAGCCATATTTTCACATAACACAGGAATATTCAACTGAACTGCTCAGGGGGCCACAGCTTCTGAAAGCCAGCAGCTCAGGGGCCGGACATCCAGCAATTAAAGTATTTATGTAAATTAACCAAGTATTACAATGATCTGCTACCTTTTAGATTTGTTTATTTTGTTGCATTGAATCATAAATGCAATAAACAGAATCCAAACCAAACCCAGATAACCCCACCCCAGTTTATTTATTTTTATGAACTCATCGGTGGGCCATACTGATGTCACCCACAGGCTGGAAGTTGCCCATGGACCACCAGTTGAATAGTCCTGTCATGACATATCCAACACTGCACTATTTTACTGGACTAAAATGTTTACTATTACCTACAAGTTATCTCATCTAAAGGGAATATTACTAATTTTACTCCTGACATTCAGTGTTGATGAATGATATGATGGATTTTATACAGTGGAACATGTGAAACAGACAAGAAATTTGTTTTATGCAAAGGACACAAACAAGAGAAGCCCTGCTCTCAACCAGTCCGTGTCCTTGAAAAAGAAGACGACGAAACAAAAAAGTCACGCGTGTTTTACTGAGTTTCCTTATTTCTGTCTCTGCCCTACTTGCAAAGTTGAATGACCCCTCATCATGAGAGTCTGAATGATTCTGTTGCATAAAACAGGAGACAATCACTGTGTGAGACTGCTCCTATAAAGTGTTTTAAATAGGCCCAGGCATTTTCAATAAAATACCTCTAACTTATAAAATACTACTTCCTTGTAGTTTAATTATAAAAAATATGAGCACAGAGAAGATCATTTTCACCCAACTGTGTGTCTGTGTGTCCGTGTTCATTTCCAACAAGTCACGTTTTTAGTGATGCAGCTGAGATGGAACCAGAAAGTCGCGGTTCAACTCCCTGCCATGCACACATGTCGTGGTGTCTCTGAGCAAGACACATAATCCCCAATTTGTCTCCAGGATGCCTACATAGCTCTCCACTGCTCCACCTGGGTGTATCCCAGGTGTGATGGGTTAAATGCAGAGAATTCATTTTGTCTTTAGATGGGGACATACAATGATGACAACATATAGCACGTAACTTTTTTAAGTCATAATTTGGCTTCTTATATAAATAAAGTTCCACTAAATGTTGATCAAGGTCAAGTTCTTTATTGTCATGTTCATCGCATGTGGTACATGTGGTGGAATGAAATTGTGTACACAGGGTCCCAGTTACATCCAACAAAAGTATAAATTGTAAAGAAAAACAGTAATAAGATCTAAGATATGAACTAAGAATACACTAAGCACTAGTAGTGCAAAAACAATATGCCGAAGAACAGCAGTACGAGCATGAGTCTGTGTGAGCAGATGAGCACGAATGAACACAGCAGCATGAAATAGATCAGCAGCATGAGATCAGCAGCACATATCAACAATCAAAGTTGCATTACAGTGATTTTTTTTCACAGTGATTATTCTGGTTAGAGATTCATGAGTCTAACAGCCTCAGGGTAGAAGCCGTTCCTCAGTCTAGTGGTTCTACACTTAATGCTCCTCAACCTTCTTCCTAGGGGAGTGGGGCAAAAAGTGTGTGTGCTGGGTGAGTGGGGTCCTTCATGATGCAGGTGGCCCTCTTCTTCCAGCTAGAGGTGTAAATGCCTGTGGGGAGGCTGACTCCAAGAGTCTTCTGTGCAGCCTTCACCACTCTCTGCAAAGCTTTTCTTTCTGCTTCTGTGCAGCCTCCATGCCACACGTTGATGCTGGAGCACAGGATGCTCTCCACTGCACACCTGTAGAAGGAGGTGAGGACTGAGCTTCCCAGACCAGTTCGTCTCACTGATGTCATCAACAGATCAGTTTATTTACTGTGAAGTGAAGAGTTTCACTTATGCCAATAATAGTCAGTCAGGTCATCTGGACAGTTTCTTTTTTTCTTTTTTGTGTGAAAAGATTACCTCAATGACCATTATTGGATTTTGTACCTGGATGACTGAGCATGAACTTTGATGTCTTGAACCACTTTGGCTGTGGCTGCCTGCCTGGGAGGAGTTGACGGGGGACAGAGCAGCCCCCTGAAACCATCTTCTCACCAGCAAACTGGTTGGTCCACTAAAGGACTGTACTGCTTAGTGGGGAAAACAGTTTACTTGGGACTCCTCAGACTGATGAAGCCCTCTGGATAGAGGGTGAAACGTCTTTCCACAAAAAAGAAACTGTCCAGATGACAGACCATTACTGGATTTTGTACCTGGATGATTGAGCATGAACTTTGAAGTTTCACTTATTAGTTTAAAAAAATATATCATTTGACATGTTTGGTGTTTTTAGGGACAGACAATAAGCCTGCAGTGTGCTAAAACTTGCTTTAGCTAAATGATTTGTTAACTGTAGTCGCACAAATTATTTTTACTGGTGTTTTTCTGAATAACCAGTCTTTATTCAGTCGTCATTTTCCATGCTTCAAATGCTAAAAATAAAAGAAGAGGATGACCAACTGGCAGCTAAAAAAATGTTAGTTATGAAAAGAGCTAAACAAAAGATGAATAGTTGACAGAAACAAACTTGTTGTTTTAGTATGGCTCTGGAAGGGAAAATGGGTCAAGGTTCTTTATTGTCATTCTCATCATATGTGGTACATGAGGTGGAACGAAATTGTGTACACAGGGTCCCAGTTACATCCAACAAAAGTATTAATTGTAAAGAAAAACAGTAATAAGATCTAAGATATGAACTAAGAATACACTAAACACTAGTAGTACAAAAACAGTACGCTGAACAGCAGCACGAACATGAGTCTGTGTGAGCAGATGAGGACAAATGAACAGAACAGCATGAAATAAATCAGCAGCATGAGATCAGCAGCATGGATAATCAGCAGCACATTTCAACAATCAAGTGGCATTACAGTGACTTTTTTCACAGTGAATATTCTGGTTAGAGATTCATGAGTCTAACAGCCTCAGGGTAGAAGCTGTTCCTCAGTCTAGTCATTCTGCACTTGATGTTCCTCAACCTCCTGCCTGAGGGGAGCGGGGCAAAAAGTGCATGTGCTGGGTGAGTGAGGTCCTTCATGGTGCAGGTGGCCCTCTTCCTACATCTGGAGGTGTAGGTATCTGTGATGGTGGGCAAAATGGGCAACAATTGTAAAAACTTTAAAAAATACCATACCATACCATACCATACCATACCATACCACTTTATTTATAAAGCACTTAAAACAGCTACAAGGCCAACCAAAGTGCTGTACAGACAAAACAACAGGTAACACACAAAGCAAAATACAAAATGAGGTAAATCAAAATATAGACATAAAAACGATGCAGATAATGACGACAAACCAGTGTGGAGCATACAGGATCAAAACACAGATCATCTGGTGTTGAAAGCTATTGAATAGTAGTGAGTTTTTAAGCGGGACTTGAAAACCGAGAGGGAGGGGGTTTATCTCTGACAAACAGAGGTAACTCGTTCCAGAGTCTTGGTTCTGCTACAGAGAAGGCCCTGTCACCTCTGCGCTTAAGACGAGTTCCTGGAACTGTGAGGAGCAACTGGTCTGCTGACCTCAGGGAACGTGGTGGGACATACGGTTGTAGCAGATCAGAGAGATAGGGGGGAGCGAAACTGTTCAGCGATTTGTAGACATACATGAGTATTTTGAACTGGATTCTAAGGTGAACTGGTAACCAGTGCAGTGAGGCCAAAACTGGTGTAATGTGCTCTCTTTTGCCTGTACTGGTTAAAAATCGGGCTGCTGCATTCTGAACCAGTTGTAGTCGTGCAATGGAGGTCTGACTGATACCAAACAGGAGCGAATTGCAGTAATCAAGCCTAGATGTAATGAATGCATGTATTACTGTCTCCAGGTTCTTTTTGGACAATATGGGCTTCAGTTTAGACAGCCGCCTCAGTTGGAAGAAGCATGATTTAACAATCATGTTTACATGATTGTTAAGTTTCAGGGAAGGATCCATTATCACGCTCAGATTATTGACTCTTTGTTTTTCTGACAGGGTTAGAGCGGAGAGGTCGATACAGTGGTTTGTGATCGTGTCGTTGGGAGGGAACAACATGACTTCAGACTTCTTTTCATTGAAACTCAAGAAATTTAAAGCCATCCAGTCCCTGATGTCAGCCAGGCAGTTGAGCAGCGGTTGAATAGAGCATGTACCATTGTGTCTTAGTGGGAAGTAAATTTGACAGTCATTGGCATAGAAGTGAAAGGGCATGTTGTGTTTCTGGAAAATAGCATCAAGCGGCAGCAGGTATAAAGAGAATAGGAGGGGACCCAGGATGGACCCCTGCGGAACCCCCCATTTAAGCTCTGTCTCTGCGGAACTAAAATCCTTGATGGAGACACAAAAGGATCTGTCAGTGAGGTAAGATCTGAACCAATTGAGGGCTGATCCTGTGACGCCCACCCACTGGTCCAACCTAGCAATGAGGATCTCATGGTCGATGGTGTCAAAGGCGGCTGTGAGGTCCAACAGGACAAGCAGCACAGAATCACCGGTATCTGTGAATCTGAAGATGTCGTTAAAGACCTTCAGCAGGGTAGTTTCAGTGCTGTGGAGAGGTTTAAAGCCAGATTGGAAAAGCTGGCGTGATCCTCCAGGAAGCACTTCAACTGGGACTCGACTATTTTCTCTAGTACTTTAGAAACAAATGGGAGTTTGGAGACAGGCCGGAAGTTGGAAACCAGTGAGGGGTCAAGGTTTGTTTTTTTCAGGAGAGGCTGGACAGCAACATGTTTAAAGGATTTTGGCACCACGCCAGTGGATAAACTACTGTTTACTATAGCAAGAATGGACGGACCTAGAGTAGGAAAAACCTCCTTTAGTAGTTGAGGGGGGACCACATCAAAGGGGGAACCAGAAGATTTCAAGCTGCACATGACCTGCTCTAGAGAAGATAGAGTGATGGGTTCAAGATGGTCAAATGGAGCTACAGATTGAGGTGGGATGGATGGGTCATGAGTTGGAGGGGAAATGAGAGCCCTGGTGGTCGCAATTTTTTCCAAAAAGAAATGTAAGAAGTTGTCGCACAGCTCAGTCGAGGCTTCCAGAGGTGATAGTTCAGTGATGTGGAGAACAGAGTTTAGGATGGAGAAGAGGACACGTGGGTTGTGAGAGTTTGAGGTAATTATATCAGAGAAGTATTTGGATTTAGCAGCTTTTACTGCTTTCTGATAACGGCGCCAACTCTCTTTAAGTATTTGGAAAGAGATCTGCAGCCTGTTTTTCCTCCACTTTCGCTCCGCCCTCCTACATTGCTGCCTAACGGCCTTGGTGATGTCACTCAGCCAAGGTTCTGCTCTGAGTTTTGATTTTTTTGGTTTTAACAGGCGCAACATGATCCAGAGTCTTTTAGCAGGCAGAGTTGAACTGGGATGTCAGCTCCTCAGTGGTGGTGAGAAACACTGGGGGCTGAATGATCATTTCAGAGTTATAAACATCTGTGAAACGGGTGGCAGTGAAGTGGTTAATGGTCCGAGTCCTACGTGCAGGAATGCACGACTTAGGAGTTAGATGGGGGAAGGTGAACTCAAACCGGACTGGCATGTGGTCTGAAAAAACATTATCACCAATAACAAGATTATTAACAGTCATATCATGAGTTAAAACAAGGTCTAGTGTATGTCCACACTCTTGGGTGGGACCGTTTACATGCTGGGTTAAATTAAATGAGTCCAATAAATCTAAAAAGTTCTTAACCAAGGGCTTCTCCTGACAGCACACGTGCAAATTAAAGTCCCCAATAATGACAACATGCTCATATTTTGGTGTGACTTCAGCCAAGAAGTCAGAAAACTCATTTATGAAATCCTTAGATCGAGGTGGGCGGTAGACGAGTGCAAATAACGTCTGAGGTGAATGTCCGAGTTCAAAGACGCTCAGCTCCAAGCTAGCGCGGGAAACTGGGATGGGCAGTTGTTTACAGTCAAAAGTTGATTTGAATATTGTTAATAATCCACCACCGCGCCGGCCTGATGACCGCGGGGCGTTAAAACACAAACAGTTCTGTGGCAGTAATTCCGTCAAGGCGCTGGACTCACCCGGAGACATCCAAGTCTCTGTGATGCACAGGAAGTCCAAATCGTGCTCTTGAAAGTAGTCCCTGAGGATAAAAGTTTTGTTGGTAACAGATCTTGCGTTGACCAAACACATCCGGATACTGTCCGAAGTGGAGCTAGCAGCGGTGGAGCTAGCAGCGGTGGAGTTAGCGTGCGCTAATGGCCGCAGGTTTTCAATAACAGCCCCTCCAGGTCGGTCCGAGCTGTGCACCGGCTGACAACTCCCGTTGGTTATCTGGTCCGGGCACACAGGAGAGGAAGATGCAGTGCACAGAGCTTTCAGCTTCACCAGCTGACCAGCACGTTTTCCCCGGCGTCTGAAGCGATATCTCCGGGCAGGCAGGTGAGGAGTGCAGCGAAGGTAAGCTGGCACGTCCGCCAGCGGGGGGGGGGGGGGGTCCAGAGGTACGCTCATATTTTTCCAAATAAGCGACTTCAGTGACAGAAAAACGAAGATCCAAAAGTTGTTGTCTGTCATACACCAGCAGAGAGTTGATGTCACAGATGAGAAATGCAAAAAACAAAAATAATCCGAACACCATCAGCAGAGGTGGATTGCAAGCCATGTACACGGGCGCCATCTTACCGGAAAATAAAAATGGCTTCCTGCAAACAGTTTGGTATCTGCATAAAATCATTAAACACTAATTAAAGACAGTGACACTTTAGTTTTTTAGCATAATAATCCTGCCCTGACACAGTTTTACAGCTAATCTACATACAGTACTGTACTATAGGTGTAATTACTGTACAGTAAACATTAGGAAACTTTTGATATATAATTTTTGGCTGCTGTAAGAATACCATTAAATTTGTTTTTAATCAATGTTTTGCTGTTACGCTGTTTTTGTGTGCACAGATAAAACTATATTAAGCTGAAAATGATTAACCTTAAAATAATTTAGTCACTCATTATTTGCTTTTGTCCTCAGTGTTGGTCTTACCTCAAAATAAGTATGCTGCCATGTTTAATAAAACTTTCCTACAACTTCTCTGCTCCACATGAAGCACCCAAATATAAAATAAAATTCACACTTGATGGTGTTTTACCCTTTTGCTGTTTTCATACATTAAAATGGGTACAATGACGGTGTTATCAAATTTCCTCAAACTCATACAAATTTTTTTTTTATTCATATATAATGAGTGAATGTACAAATATTTGTCCCATTACAGTAACTGTTATAATTCGACTACAAGAAAAAAGTATTGAAAAGTTCAAGAAAAGGGACGGATCTTCGATGTGGTCATTGCCACCAGTTTGAGCCCAGTTTGAATCAGGAAGGATCTTGTGTAAAACTTTTACCAAATCTTTCAAGTATGCTTGCTTGTTGTGGCAATTCCTGAAGAGCAGCCAAAAGAATAATTACAAAAAAATGTCAGAAGGGATACAAAAGGATTTCCAAGGCCCTACATCCCCAGAAGTTATTTTAAAGTTGTCATCAAGAAATGAGAAGCATATGGGACATGTGTAAATCTACCAAGAGCAGGCCGTCACAAACTGAGAGACCGTACAAGAAGAGAGGCCACCAAGACACCAGTGAGCAGAACTCTGAACCAGTTACAAGATTCAGAAAGAGAGGAGAGACTGTGCAAACTCTTCTGCAGACGCCATCAGATTGCTCCTATACTGTATGTCACAAAAAAGTCAGTCTAACAATCGAGCGTCAGTGACCTGATGGACGCTTGATATGCACCAAAACAGCCTGAGGACAACCTGGCTAAAGTGGTTACTCCTAGATATAAAACAAAAAAGAAAAACAAAGTTAAATAATCCAGATTTAATCGGTTTTCTTTGACAACAGCTTTCTCTTTACCACTTTGTCATAAAGCTCAGGTTGGTGAAGAACTTGGGCAACAGTTGTTGTATGCACAGTCTCTCCCATCCCACCTGTAACTCCTTCAGAGTGCTCACAGGTGTCTTGGTGGTCTCTGTTACTGGTCTTCTTTATGAACTGACTCTCACTTTGTGAGGACGGCCTGCTCTTAGTAAATTTACACATGTCCCATATTCCTTACATTTCTTGATGATGGATGTAACAGAACTACTGTCCATGTTTAGGGCCTTGGAAATCCTTTTTATCTATACTGATTTGTATTTTTTAATACTTTATGCTCTGACTTGAATTAGGCCAGTCACTTGAAAGGAGGTGAATATTTATACATTTACTTATTGTACGTTCCATACTTTGATTTAATTGGCATTGGATTTTACTTTGGCAGTAAATGAAGTTTTTTTAAATACATTTTTTTGTCAAAAAGGTCAGTTAATATTTACCATGATTGATTTATGACAGAGCAGCACGGTGGTGCAGTTGGTAGAGCTGCTGTCTCTCAGCAAGCAGGTTGCCCTGGTTCAAATCCTGGTCCAGGGGCCTTTCTGGGTGGAGTTTGCATGTTCTCTCTGTGCATGTGTGGGTTTTCTCCGGGTACTCCAGTTTCCTCCCACAGACAAAAAACATGCACGTTAGACTGATGGTAACTCTAAATTGTCTCTAGTTGTGAGTGAGAGAGTGAATGGTTGTTTGTCTCGAAGTGTCCCTGTGATGGACTGGAGACCTGTCCAGGGCGTACCCTGACTCTCACAGTGATTGGTGGACATGGGCGCCAGTGACCCCCGTGACCCAAAAAGGAAGAAGCAGGTAAAAGATGATGGATGGATGATTTATCACAGCAATAAAAGGGTAAAACTTCCAAGTAAAGATTGTTTTAACAAACTGGATGATGACCATATTGAAGAAATATTTCATCCTAATTCTGTTCCCTTTGCATGAAATTCCCTCACATTCTTTTTTTAAGTCAAGTACAAATGCCACACGGCACAGAAGTTGCTGGAGTAAAGGTCAGGATGAACTTACAGCATCAAGTGTTGCTACAGGTTCCTTATTCAAGAACTACACGTGTTTAGGTAAGAGCTGTTTCAAGAATGAACTGGTTAACCCTCATTATTTGAGTTACTCTAATTGGGAGGCAGATGGTTTGACTCGAACATGTTTTCCCAACCACTTTATAGGTAAAAACATTTAGTCGTTTCTTACAATAGTAATCAGGAAAATGAAAATAAATACTTTGGGGATCTCCTCAGATGAGTGCATGCTGTGCTGGAGTGGATACATGTTGTTTGAATCCACCTCTTACATCCACTTCTCTGAATGTGAGCACACAGCTGCTCTTGCAAAGAACCTGTTCTCTGTTGAATTAACAGGCCGCCTGTGCAGAACGCAGTGTGTTGTACTCACCGATGGTGGTGATGACAGTGACGGCAAAGTAAAAAGAGCCGGTGAACTTCCACTGCCTGCCGCCCCGGTGCTGCTCAGACTGCAGGATGACCCTCTCCATCTGTTTGTAGTCCTCCTCCATGAAGCCCAACTTTGTCTTCAGCTCGTTCAGCTGCTGCTCCAACACCTTCTTCCTGGAGCTCTCGCTCTCCGTCTCCAGGGCGTCGAACACAGCAGCTCCGACGAGCAGGTAGAAAACAACCGAGAGGATGAGGGACAGAGTCCTGATGTTCTGAGGCTTCATCCTTTAACTCCGGAGGAGCACAGGAGTGGAGTGAGGAGGCACGGGGACAGGAGAGAGAGGGGGAGGAGGCTCCGAGGGACAAGCTGCATCCATCACTACAAACTAAATGCAGCTTCGTCTTGTTCATACAGAGACTAAAGGTGTTGCTACCAAAACTCAACAAGTCAAAAGTTACACGTTTATAAAGTTCTTCTCACTGAATGGAGCTGGAACCACGTGAACCTTTAATGAATGTTCACCAAACCAAGATGTTTACAGACTAGTTTCTCTCTCTGACCCTGCGCAGACACACTTCTGTCATCCAGTCCTCAATTTTATAAAGAGATATTTTGCTCGTTTCTAAGTGAAGTTCTGTGGAAAGGTTCTTTTTTTTTTTTTTTTTTTTTTTTTTTTGTCCTCCCTTTTCCCCTTAAACCCCTCCCCCCCCCCCCATTTTTTTTAAAATTTTATTTTATTTGATATTTTTCT